ATCACGCAATACAATAAAAATTTATGCAGTGAAAATCTAGCTTTAGAGTGCAAGACTAAACAGACAGAAATATTTCAGTTAACCAGATTTACCCTGTAAAAATATGTTTGGTGATCATTTGGACGGTACTAACTATGATTGAATCATATACATTTAGGTTACAGCTACGGTGTCTGCGTCGTATCGTGTTCTTTGTATCGTATTTTGATTGGCCGTTTTAATCATAGTATTAATTATCAACCGTTATCTACCGTAAGTTGAGTCAAATTAAACTTCTGAACTCGACACAACAGACAACGTAATTGTGAACACGGCTCTAAAGCAGTACAACCTAAGTATATAATAATGACTGTTACCTTCCATTTTATCTGTGTTTGTCTTAACGCCTATACTAATTCAGGATGATTGCCGATCGAAAACAGTTTTCGCTTCACCGTTTACGATTTTGTATATGTATTGATGTGTAATACGATTGAATTTGAGCGAATTTCATACAAACCTTTATAACATCTATAGTTATGAGCCGCATAATTCTCCGCGAGGATTACGCATCGAGTAACACACATAAGATTAGAATAAATGCATCAGTCAACTTAATTATTTACAGATTACTTTTAGAGATAATTTTAGATAGCAATTATTTAGAACTAATTATAATTATTATCAACTTTACGTGTTATTCTTACTTGGTTTGAAAACCTAAGTTTATTTATTTGGTACAAAGAGTACTTATGTTAAAAGCATATTTTTAGTAAAATAAATCGATAATTTTCATCTTATTAATATTCAATCCAAATAATTTGCTATTTTTGAACATGACATTTTGCAACTGGTCCAAACGTGTTTTGTCCATAAAAATTAATTGTATTAATTACAACCTGGTACTCTGATATGAATGATATAATTAAAGACTGAAATTATTTTGATATTGTGTATTTACGTGTGTCAATAGACAGCCAAAAATATTCATTCTCATACGTGTATAAACAAAGTTAAGTGTCTAGCACAATTGAGTATGGACACGAAACATAATGTATGCATTATCAAGACTTAACCCCAAAACAATGTTACACAATATCTATCACTATTTGTATGCAAGACATTTTGTACATAGAGCGTAATACACTGTTTTGTATTATTCGAAACCCCAAGTGCATCACCAGGATTACCTACCTATGTAAGTGGCGGTGTCATCACTCAGTTACACTCGTCCGCATCACCTATGTAAATTAATTGATCTGTATGATACGCCCTGTATACTTCAACAATATTATGTAACGGTGTGATATTATATATTGCATTATCCATTTACATGTACAATTGTATCGTATCATTCGTATCGTCCACGTATATCAGACTGCACACTCCAATAATATTTTACGGCGTGTAGGTACGCGTCAATCGCAATAACAGTGACGTCCTAAAATATAATTTAATGCACAGACTGTAATATCGTGGATGACAGTAAGGGTGGTCATCGCTTAATGCGTTTTATAAATAGTAAAATCGTATTGACGTCAATGATATTGTACATATATATATATAAAGGGAAACACACGAAATACGTATACGTTGTATACCAGATACCTAGTGTGCGCGGGACATATTATATATGCGTATCGAATTACACACAGGCGATCGTTTTGTATGTGTTTAGCTGCCGATGAGTATATTACCGTGAAATGGATATTTGATTGCGTAAACTCCAACCGGACCCTCTGCGTAGGGAATAGAGATATAGGTAGGTACAGTATACACAACACATATGTAGGTTAAACATTCTGTGTGTATTTAATTATAACAGGCAGCGTGCGTCCGCGGGATAAGAGCATAATACCACTATAATAAAAATAATAGAAAGGGAATTGCAACCCCCTTCTCTCTATCCACAGAATTGGTTACGCTTAAGGTTTATCTCTATATTTTTTTAACCAAAGTTCAATAATGGAAACATAACAGACGGTTACATATTATGACCGCATAATTTTCATAATTTATTTATTTCCTATACGATACGATTTTTAAATAAAGGATTTAAATACCACTTATCTACGGCAGACCGAAAAATATATCTTAGAAATTTTAAAAAATGTTAATAACACTATTAAAACCATGAAAAATGATAAAGGTATATTATGAAATTTACAAGGGAGCTAGTAGTTCGTTTAAAATTCAAAATTTAATGTATTCATACTTACCGTGCAGTAATTTTAAAGAAAATATTTTAGAGATTTCATAAGTTGATGGCTAAATGAATCATACAGTCGAATTCGCTTACAACGATGCCGTTTACAACGATATTCCGGGTAAAACGATTCCAAAGCAATGTATTTGGTTGGTTTTATATCTTATGTGTTCTTACATTTTATAATCCGGATATATCGAAGTTTGGTTATAATGGTCAGATTTTCTTGGTCCCTTGAAGATCATAATAAATGAATTTAAATGTAATTAATTTTGATTTTTTTTGTAAAATATTAAATTCCTATGATTCCTATTATCAATAAAAATATTAAAATATAAAAATTCCTAAGTAGGTACTATGAACAACTATTTTATCTATTTTTCTTTTTTGTATACATCGTATATGTATTTTTAGTAAATATCTTTTTCGTAAGTCAATGTATACCATAATATGCATGCAATTACAGCAACGCACCCTTTATCGTATAACTCTGAACGCACGCCATTAAAATAATAATTAATTTTATTTTTGTGCTTGGAACTATCTAAACATTGATATTAAGTGTCTTAGTCGTATTGTGGCAACTAGTGGCGGATTTAACATTAATTTTTCGGAAAATACTGACGAAGTACTCCCCCCCCTCCCTGTATTTCTATGGGTTGGAGCATACGTGAATTACAGCGAAAAGGTTTTGTAAAAGGTGTATCACGAATCACGGATAGAATAATGCACTTAGTGTTTCTTTTGTTTTTACCGATTATTATTTCAATCTTAAATTCGCCAATGGTAACAACCATTTCAATATTATGCTTAAAATTAAAATGTAACAATAACATTGCTCACAAATATGTTTAATTTAAAATTATATACATGTGTATATATTGTATAATATTGTTTCTCTTTTAGTTTTTCAATATCCGATTATTTAGATGCTACATAAATTAATTCATTAAATTCATTAACTATTATAAGTACTAATGCCGATCAGTTGTATTTTCTAACTCTTGTTTTATTTCGAATACATTCAAAACAACATATTTATTCGGTCAATCTTTTGAAAAATATACAATTTTCTCAATAATTTGATTATTATTAAATATTAACTATATATTTTCTTTTACAATCGATTTTATATTAGTAATACATAAAAATTAAACTCAAATAATTATAATTTGTTATGTCACATGAAATATATGTATAAAATCGATCCATGTCAATTGATAGTGCAACAATAGATAGCAGACAATAGATATAGTGTCATGAATTTTTTTTTAATTCCAATTTTTCACAAACTTGTCAATAATTAAATTAATAATCATAAGTTCTAAACTAGGTATGTCAATAATTATAATAATATTAAGTTTTCAGAAATAAATTTTAATAGTTAATAATCTTTTTTACTTCTTTACTTCTATTATTAAAATCACTACATATAATTTTAAGTTTTTTTGTTCGATCATTATACTTTTTTTTTTTGATGATGGTTGATTTCCTATGACTAATATTGTTGAACTTTTAACCGATTATTTTAATTATTGACAATTTTGTTAAAATTTATTTCTGAAAATCTATCATTATTATTATAATTATTGATATAGTTTATTTGTAAGAACCTATGACTAATATTTAATTATTTACAAATTTGTGAAAAATTGGAACTAAAAAATGTTTATTAAATTATCAATTGTCGCGCAATCTTTTGTCCACTATCTATTGTCACGCTATCAATTGACCACTATTTATTGACGGTATACCGTATAAAATATATTATTGAATTAATTAAAATAAGATAATTATTATTTGTAAAATCTATAGCCGTTAATCCATGTTGTAATACGTGCGACGTGTTACGTGACATACGACAAATTTATATACTCCCTCACCCCCTTAAACTACTTTCTAGTCCCTCTTATAGAAAATGGTCAAGAGACGTTTCTGGCCATCCCCTATTTCCCACAGACCGCAATAATGTTTATTTTAAAAAGACAACTTTTACATTGTTGTGTCGCATCCGAGTCATCCGGCCGGTTGTGTACATATTATTACGTGCGTATTATCGCATAATAATGCATATTTATTATAAGTTATATGAATTGAGTATTTATCTAATAACAAATAAATATTTTCAAATTTCAGTGACTGGGTGGATTAAAAATCAACGACATGTCAATAAATATTTAAATATATGTGTATATAATATACAAGTCGTTTATATTTTAATTTGTTACCAAGAGAACAAACAAAACAATATTTAAATATTTATAAAGTTAGCTCAATCACTTGTAGCTTGTATTAGTTAGCGTGGTCGATATGGGTTGATTAAATAAGCTCACCAAAAGCTAAACCCCCTGAAGCCAACTGCAGTAGGAGGAGCAAGTGCCGCTGGAGAAATAAATTAGATAAATTTATTTCTAATAGAAACCCATATCTCTTTTTCACATATTTCTTCAGTACCTACTGTTTTTAGAAAAATAATGATTGTTTTTTCTATTTTTTGTCAACTTGATCAATTTTTTATCAACAAGTAATTTTACGTTCTTGGTTCGTTCTCGGATAATGATAACATTTTTTAAAATTTTTTACAGTAGTTGCTAAATTAACATTACTTTTCTATGATAATTAAACTACCATATTATTGATGTATCGAAAATTAACTGATCTAACTACTCTTAACTGGCTACTTGAACGACGTTTGCACGTTACATTTTCTACATATTATGTAAGACATAAAAATATAGTGGGTATATATAGGTATCATCAATACGATGTGAGGTTATTTTTATCGATAAATAACGTTAATACGGAAAACACTTACCGGCTGGTTTAGGAACGTTTCGTTTGACTTGCATCCACTTGTAAGTGGGCACGGCCGTTTGGACAGCCGACGAAGTGGCGACGGCGGCAGCGACGGCTCCGTGCTTCTGCTGGCCACCACTGTTTTGCCGGCCACAGTGTTGTTGCTGCTGCTGCTGCTGCTGCTGTGGTTGGTGATGGTGATGGTGCTGGTGATGCTGCTGCTGCTGTTGTTGCTGTTGCTGCTGGTGATGAATGTGGTGGTGATGTTGCTGTTGGACGTGTTGCTGCGGTTGGCCGGCGATCAGCGTGGCGCGGTACGCAGACGCGTCGTCACTGTACGGCGACGTACCGTCTCGGCCGCCGTAACACTGGCCGCCGGAGGACGCCTCCTGCTTGATGACGCGCGGACACCGGTCGTCGCCAGACGCCGGCGCGGGCTGTAGTTGCAGCGGGACCGCGGCCACGGTGGCCGTGGTCTGAGCGGACGACTGAACCGGTGGCTGCGGAGGTTGCGCGGACGGCGGCCGAGGCTGCTGCACCGCTTGTCGTCCAACGGCCGAGTGTTCGTTGTTGTGGTTCAGGTGCATGTTGAAGAACGCGTTGTCCACGGACGCACCGCCGCCGCCGCCACAATACGACTCGTTGCGGACAGCGTTGTCGTCCCGATGGTGATGGCCGCCGTAACCGTTGTAACCACCACCGCCGCCGCCGCCGCCGCCGCCGTCGTCCGAGTACGCTCCGTACTCTTGTCCGTGTACGGCGGCCGCGATACCGTTACAGTCCAAGTTTGTGTAGCTCAGACCGTCCGACGACGTGATGATGACGGCCGCTTCGGCCGACTGCAACGGGTGTTGGTGGTTGTGATGGCCGTGTTGGTGTTGGTGCTGGTGGTGATGGTGGTGATGTTGGTGATGGGCATGGTAACTGCCACCCCCGACGTCGGCCGCCAGCTGATCGTAAGCGCCGTCGCCGCCGCCGCCGTAATACGATCGGTAATCGGCCGCCGACGCGTTCTTCTCGTAGTAAACGCCGCACTCGGCCGCGTACGCGGGTTCCAGTGGCGGCCGGCCGCCCAGACACTGCGGCAAGTCGTAGTCGGCCACCAGTCCGCTGGCACCGCTGTAATAATCGTCGGCCACAGCCGGCGTGTGCGTAGCGTACGACATCATGTCGCCACTGCCGCCGACGCCGACGCCGCCGTTGACTGCACCGCCGCCGCACGTGTTGTTGTGCATTCCCATGTTTGTCGTCTGCGAAAGTGTATAAACGACCGCGAGTATTACATTATAATATATTTATATTGTGGTTACGAGTTCAGTGGCGTGGCGAACTTGAAATGGCTATATTCCACCCACCCATCTAAATCCTGACACTTGGGTATTGACTGTCATATTTTTTACCCACTCGTCGAAGTACATTATTACTATATAGTCATCTGTAAATAGTGTAAATTATTATCCGTTGAACATTTTGAGGCTATAGCCTCCGCCCCGCCACTGGTTACGACATTAAGTTATTAGGTATATATTATATAATATTAGCTCTGCTGGTCGACTACAATTCAACGCTGCGTTTACATTATTTCTTACGTTGTAGCTATACTAGCTATACGCAATGCACGCTGTATTCTTACAAATAGATAAGCAAATCAGATTTTATTTTTTAGAATTTTAGAATTTTAGGCTAATTTATTGGTGAATTTATATTTTTACTCGAGATTATAATGCAAATATTCATGTATTTTATGGCATTTTTTATGCAAATTATAAATAATAAATTCTAATGATTAATACTTTAACAAACACTTAACACCAATAAATCAAATTCAACATCTTAAAATTCACGGGAGAAAATACCAAATTATCGTATATGAATAATTAAAATAATATATTTACATGTGCAGTGCATGTTAAATTGTAAAGATGTACATCAAAATCATCAAATAATGTTTTTAAATTTTTATTACTTCTTATAAGCTTATTATTTTAAATCATTAGATTATAAATATATTTTTTTAACAGGGAAATTTCTCAATGTTATGTTGAAATGTATACTTATAAGCAGCTCCTAGAGTGAATTCCTGTATCATTATCATCTACAATAATAATATTTTACCGAAAAGTTTTTTTTTAATTCTTTTAAATTTTTACTAATGTATAAATATTTTTTTATTTTGTTTAATAAACTAAATTCTATTTTTAAATAAAACTTTGAAAAGTATACTTACAGTATCATTCGTTTGTTATAATTTAAAATTCATCTATTTAATATTTTTTATAACTATCTATTCATAAAAATGTATATTTTAATTTTATTTTTCTTTACATTTTTACATTTTTATTACGTATATTTGTTTTAAGTGTTTCAATAGGTAAAAAGAAATCATGTATAATATTTATAATTTATTTACCAACTCCTATACGTACATACAGTATTAATCTAAAATTCGTTTATTAAAGTTTCGACTTGAACAAATTAACAAACGAATGTTTATTAAGTTTTTTTTTTATCTATAACTTCACGCTATATTTAAACATGAAAACATCTTAATTTATGCGTCTACATTAAACATATTAATTAAATCAGCTGCAACTGTATACGATCGATATAAATATACAAGACATTAAAAAAGGGTGAATATTATTTTGGATTTAGATTAATAGTATAAGTTTTGTTAGTATACACTAATACTATAAGTATTTAATAATTAACAGGCTGCATTTCATCAAATGTTATATTTTCTTTATTTTATGTAAATAGATATAGTGTATAAACAATAATATAAAATTGTTTTAACTCAATTACGTATGTATTAGTTGAAAATGAATTAAAATATTAATACTTTTATCTTTATTGAACTTATTAATATTCTACTCGATCAAATTAGTGCCTACTTACTTAAAATGATATTTTAAATAAATATTTTAACTAGAAATTATATTTCTGATGTTTATTATAAATGCTAACATATTATTTTTAATCAACTCGAAGTTTATTTCTTTTACAAGATGTACCTACACTTAATTTATTATATGTATATACTAGATACTTACTACTAGTTGTATTCATTTACTTAGATACTTTATAATATTATATTTAAACGTTTATCATAAAACTAGTGGTACCTATGTAAATTTCGCTATTAGCACTGAATTATTATTAATTTTTATGTATTGTAAACGTTTTTAAATTAAGTGTATATTTTTAATAATTTAAATATGTATGATAAACTCAACAAGTTAAATTGTTTCTTAGTGTATTACAGGCTTGCTATATTAAATATTTATATAATAATATATTATGTGTACGTATAACCAACAAAACACATTATAATTACATTGCGTACTAAAAAAAAATCAATAATAGGTAAACTCGTGGTCAAAAATACGATTCATTTAAAACATAATATATACATTTTTTAAAATTAATAAACATTAAGCAGGCCGTTAATAAACTTAACGAATTTTTAAGTTATAAAATTATGATTTAATTACACATACCTATTATATTATAGTTAATAAAAATAATGTTATTGCATATCTATATATTTTATGCGATTTATACGCATTTATTTTTAACTGATTTGATTGTTGAAGGTTTAATGGTAATAGAGTGGTATAATAAAACGTGTATATTTAAATAGTCGTCTCCTATGTAAAAAAAATTTACTATCCTAACAAATGTCAGGTTTTTTTTGTGCATAGAATGAAATTGACTGTCACTGAATTACAATATGTCTTTTTGAAGTTGATGTATCCAGGAGATGTTTATCTGTTGTCTGGAATACGACAAATCTTGTGCAAAGATATAATATACACGTTGACAACGTCTGTTTCTTTTCAAGTTTTGACAGTTTTTGGGAAACTTTTTTAATAGAAAAGTTAAGTTGTAAAACATGCCTGCAAAACTAAAGAAACAAGCGAAATTTTGATTTATTTTTAAAGGGAAAAATATTATAGGTACCTACATTTTTTCAATTCAATTCCACGCCATAATACACCATTAAAGTATATAATATGATTTTAGTAGTTACGAAAATTAGTATAAAGTTTGTATTAAACTATAATATATGTGTGTGTGTATTTATATATTATATTATTCATACACATGTATAGCGTAACTAAAATTATATAACCATTTTTTCTGATGCCATAATGTATAGTTACTATAGTTATAAGTTTGATTAGGTCAATTTTCTAATTTATAAAATGACTATAAGTTTTAATACTAAGAATAATAATTTCATAAATTATAATCGAGCATTAAATTAACACGCACGTAATTATATTTATTATTACTTAAGTAGTAGGTATATTATTTTATTATAAATTTTAAAATATTTTAGATACACATATCAATACAAGCAATAATATTTATATTAGCACATATCTACAGGTTTTTATTAGTGTTATTAAAATTTAAAATAATTTGAAAATAATATATAGACTTTATTTAAGGGTGAGATATGCTCATTATTAATCTATATTATTCACTATTTTCCAGTTTAAGTAAAAAATAAGGGACACGAATTTAAAAGTAATTTTCAACTTTTAACTAGTATCATATTTATTGTGATTACGTATATGTATGCGTACATAATTTTAGCTTCCAATAATCGATAAAATAAATAAATGAGTCTATAAATATGGAATATACGTATATTATATTTAAATAATATAGGTAAGTACTTATTATATACCTATGAGTGAGTTATAATTATACGTGATTATTTTTTAACTATTATTATTTGAATACATTTTTACTACAATATAATATAATATAAATACAATATTATGCGATGATATATTATAAATTATAAGATTACCTTACTTATAAGTTACAACGTTCTACATTACTATTATATGCATATTGATTTCAATTAATTATCCGATCTTGCACTTAATATAAGTGTATAACGTTATATATAAGTGTAATATAACTTTATAATATAATTAAGTTAATAATATTATTTATTTTCCTCCCAAAACTTTTTTTTTTAGCGGTTTACACATTTTATTTTGTGTCGTGACGAACGTATACTATTACAAGTTATAATATTTAGGTACTCAGTGACGCGCGGAAAACACACTTGAAACCCTAAGCAAAGTGTTTACACAATAATCTCCACCCATTTCCCCTACGGCATAATATTTATAATCTAAAACTGTATGCTAGTTTAAAATCTTGGTTATCATAGAACATAGCTAGATCATTAACAAATTGATATATATATATATATATATATATATGTAACATATTTAAAAAAAAGCCACAATAACTAATAGTACAGTCATCCGCAGAAAATTTAATATTTAAATTCAAAATACATTTTTGAAGGGTTGAGCATTGCATTATGCAATCATCGTTCACCGCGCCACTGCCGATGCCTGCACTCGTACCGCGGTTATTAACGGATAATGAGTGACAATCAACGTGAATGAAATAGTGTTTTTCCCATATTTATTAGTACCCACCTGATAGATGATAGGTCTGTTCATCGATAACATCACTTCGTCCTGCAGTGGCGACAGGGTCGGCGCATACCACCGCAGCGGGCGCTCGCGCGAAACTCAGAGAAAAAAAAAAAAACAATAAATCTTTAACTCGCGGCACGAAAAATCAACGCGAACGGATCGAGCGCGCGAACACAACGACGGCAATACGGTGCTGCTGAACAGTAGTCAAGTCGGCGCTGTAACGACGATTTTAGGCGTGCAATTATATTGTTGCTGTGCGCGATCGGTCGGTCGATAAATGACAACGATAATGATATAGCGGCGTACCGAACAGCCGGGCGGTACGTACCTAACTGGACGTGGACATGGTATATCGCATACTACCGCGGTACTCGACTGCTCGACGGTTACCCACACCTATTATTATCCGTATCACGATAACCGTCGCGGTGAATCGTCACACTACTGGTTGCGCGCGGTTACCTCCTCCGCGATGCGCGCTCGCCGGCGGTACCGGTATCGTCGCCGCCGCGGTTTACGGCGATCCGCCGACAGGGTGGAGTCGGGCCGGGGCGCGCCGTACGGCGACACCCATCGTGCTCGGCCGGACCAATGGCCGCGCGCTGCCCGGTCCACGTGGCCGCAGCATCCCGCGGATGGGCGGGAGCGGTCGCCACCGCCGCCGCCGATCGATCGCGCGATTCCGGGCCAATGGGCGGGCGGGGCGATCCTACGTCACGGCCTAGGTGTCGAATATTATCCTATTGTTGTTATTGTTCTTGTTCTTGTTGTTCTTGCGCTTGTCGTTGTCGTCGATGTTATTGTCGTCGCCGCCGCCGCCGCGTACATGACCCACTTTTAGCGGCGCGTCTTTTGTCAAAAGCGGTGCCACTCCCTCCCGGCCCGCAACCGCCGTCGTCACGCCGGACGGACTTCTATAGGCACTATATGTATTGTGCTCGGCGTAATATATTATATTATTATGAAATATATTATACACAACGGGGCCCATACAGCGCGTGTGGTGATGGCGGCAAATACTTTGGATATCGTCCGAACTATACCCATGTAACGCTAACACGTGGCTTAGATTTCAATTCATTTTTCCTCCTACAAACGTTTCAGTATGATATTGTACGTGTGTAAATACCACACAGTCTTCAGATCCTTACCGCGCGTACGCTGCTCTTTTTGTTATTGTGTACCTATCAGCTACCTCGTATCAAAGGTGTAGGTACCTACTGCAAAAATGAACTGACGACTTTCGTGTTTCGTTTCTACCCCACACGACGCTCTGCGCAATTGAATATTTCTATGATCTTTTTTTCTTTTTATTTTTTTGTCACAGATTACTAATCGAAATACCCTTCCCCTTCTTGAATGGCTTTCGCGAATCCGCCACTCGGTCAACACGTCGTCCCTTTTCCATCTATAGTCGTCGTCTGGGGAATTCGCGTGAGCCACTGTACTAAATTGTAGTGTAACATTGAGTGGCATAATAATATCATACATAGAATATGTTGCAGGCTGCAGCCTGCAGCTAGTTTTGTACTTGCTGATGACCGAACTTGTGGAGATGCCATATAAACTCATAAACTCTATCATTCGTTTTATACAAAGTCTGATGATTATAAAATATCTTATATAATACGCTTGCATATTAATTATATTATTCACAGTTGTCAATGCAGTGGCTGCAGTGCATGTGGCGCATAATCAACTGTCGATTGCCGTTCGATTGAGTCAAATATAATTTATTATATCATATAGCGCTGTCATGTTGATTTGAATAAAACAATTACTATGGATGTAATATCTATGTTTAATTTATATTTATCATTTCTAGACGTGTGAAAAATACATTTAGAACGTCATCTAATCAACTTAGTAACATATAATGTAATTTTTAAACAAAAAAAGAATATATATTAATAGTTCTCTGCGATGAAATTGTATGAAAATTTAACAATTAAAATTTGATCAGACTTTGGAGTCAAACTATAAATTATATACTTTTGTGAAATGTTAAAAAATATACATAATGAAACTTTTAACATTTTTTTAATTTTATTTTTAATCCTTAAAGTGACATATTATATTTACAATTTCATAATTATCAGTTATTTCTATGGTTAGGTTACTTGGTTATAAATGAAACACCGATAAAGAAAATTTTCCTACGGTGAACAATGATGACTTATTAAAATCTATTTTTTCTTAGATGAACTAAATGAAGCGAGTAAGTGACTTTAAAATAACTGTTTCAATTTTGATCATGAGAGTATATTTTAATTTTATATAAACTTCAACTGTACATTAACCCAACCTTACTTTGAATTTTTGTGATAAAATTAATGTGAGCGTAGCCCTACAACAACCTATGTGGGTTGAAAAGAAATCCTGACAAACCCTAAGCTATCTCTAACTCCCGTGTCTCAAGGAATCAATTGATATAACTCTGATTGAAAACGGTCCAGTAGTTTTAAATTTATTAATAGTTGTTCAATTGTAAGAAAAAAAAAATATTTAATTTATTTTCAATTGTATCGCCTTTTACTCGTTAATTAACGAATTTTTTAATCTACAAAAATCTTAGCGTATTTATGGTTAGTTTCAGTAGCACATTTAGGGGAGGGGCGAAAGGGGCGAATGCCCCCAGTGGCAAAATTTTAAGTTTTAATGAATGTATTATTATTTATTTTTTTTTTTATTACAAAATGTATGATATTGATTAACAGACGTATCGTATAACATTTCTTGATTAATCAATGGTTTTGTGATAACAGATTATCTTATTAAATCATTTTGAGTTGAATGTGATATGAATATGACGGATAACGTATAAAACAAATTATTACTATACGAGTTCAAAACGCCCGGAGGAAGGGGGCGGCTATAAAATAATTTCGCCCCAGCTAGGGCACATATATATTATAAATGCGCCATTTGTTAGTTGTATTTGCTTTATTTCAATCATTTCTATTTAATATGATCGCAACAAATTTTTATACTAATTACAAATCTATTTTTATGTAATTAAATTCTCTAACCTAATTTATCAACCATACCAATTGTAGCTTTACATTAGATCTTCATTGTTATTTGTGCATATTATTTTATATTTAAAGTCATTGTGTCATAGCGTTTATTTATTATTACTAGGGCCCGGATTTCAATGCAAAATGCATATTTTTTTGGTTGATCTTACACAATGCGTTCCAAGTACATAATCCATTTCATGAAACGAGAGTTCCATAGCTACAAATTTTATATTGCATTTTTTTTGCATATTTCGATATTTTTTTCATTTTTAGAGCATTTTTACTATTTTTAGTATTATTGGGTCATTTTGTTGGTTTTTAATCCGTATATGTTCAATATACTTTACAAATTTAGCCAATTCAAAATATTATCTAAAAATAAATTATTTGATTCAGTTTTTATTTTATTTTATCTTAATTTATTATTGACTGTGGAACGTCACCCGTATCCTATATTCGATCAAATTACAAATAATAAGTACAATAGGATTACTTAGAATTTAATTTTTATACATACATATTTCGGTATGTTTAGAATGGATAATATTTCTCCAGAACGGCCAAAATATATGCGAATTAACATCAATCTAATTTTCAGTTTTTTTTTTTTTTAATAAAATAATAAAAAATAATTAAATCTTATGTATAAATTACAAATTGTATAAAAAATTATATATCATTTTTAAAGTCATTTTTTCATTTTTAAGGTCATTTTTGTAGAAATGCATTTTTTAGGGGCATTTTTGGCTATTTTTTAGAACATATTTGTATGGTTTTTAGTGCATTTAAATCCGGACTCTAGTTATAATATAAAATAATAGTAATAATAATAAAATATTTATAATAATGTTAAAAAATGTATTTATTTAATATTATATGTCTAAATTTTATTTGCCTATATCAATATATCATCAACCAATTATTATTTATTTTTGTACTGCAATCATTTATCTATTTAAGCTACATAAAAATCATTTCACTATTATCGTTGTATGTAGGTATTGTAGGTTACATTTATATGTATTATAGTTATAGAAATTTATTTTGAAGATTTTGTAATTTTTAATTTTTGTTTAGAATTTAACAGTCTTTTAATTTATAATTACATAAATCTAAACTTATTGGAAGAGAATATTTTGTCTACATATAATTAATTACACTTTACTCGACATCAATGTATTACAATGTATATATTTAAGTAAAATGATGATTATTATTATTTTTTTTATTATTTTACAATAATATAATAGATAAAAATTTTAGAATTAAACTTGTAGGTACATAGAACAAAGGTTTCCAAACTGTGGGACACGTTATATTTTTAAATAATACATTTTTTTAAACATGTGTTACTTTTTCTCAAATAATTAAAAAATAAAAGTCTTTAATATTATTGTAAGTCGAAGAACTTTGTACTTTTTGTTTAATGTATTAATATCGTCATAAAATAGACAATACACCATTCTGTTGACGTGTCAAGTATAGTATATTAATTAATTGTATACAACTGAGTCGTCCGTATATACGAGTACCATACAGAATATTATAAAATTGTATAGATTTGTATGAATTAGAAAAACGACTGAGTAACGATATAAACCCTGGTCGTATTTCCGTTTATATTACAAAACTGTGTGTTTGGAACGGTAGTTGTGGCTTAATAACACTGATAATTAAACACACCCCAGTTAGAAAAGTCATCGTCAAAACCCAGCTATGGGATGTGGTTTAATTATGAGCGTTCGCGCCGAAGGGGTCTGACAGTCCAGAGTCATAAATTAATGTAAGCCCACATTTTGTCATGACAAATTGGCTTGTCTTAAACCTATATTATATATTATATACTATACACCATGACTTATAAATTTAGATACCTATTTATTATATTATATGATAGTTTATGGCGTTGTCGATGGTGTCGATATTTCCCTCTCTACAAGTTTTAAAATAACTTTTACCATTTAAGATTATTAATCAACATTTTATTTATATGTGTAATATTCCTATGCACAAATGTATGCTATAAATATTAAGTAAAGTAAAATGAGTTAACATAAATTTGGTTATATACTATTATATAAACATCTATGAAGTATTGAAATGAGATAAAAAATATTAACACGATTAACCAAAAATAGTTTTATTAATTATTACGAATCTTACTATTTTCAAACTGTAAAATTAAAATTTAATAAAATTATATATTTATATATTATGTACTTATAATTTATCATATTCTAGTCGACCACAATGTATTATGCATTATATTTATAAAGACCTTTGGTCGTTTAAATAAAAATGCCATAGGCAGTTTAAAAAATATATATATAATATATATATATTATTTACTCAAAATAAACATTAAA